GAGCGATGCTCACGGAGAGCATCCGAGAGCCAGGGTGCAGGAGGACTGGCACGGGCTGGCCTGGATGCAAGAGGACATAATTGGTCTAGACATGATGCTAGTGTGGAGCAGAGTGTATCAGTGGCACTGTTCGAATCAAGTGCAGAAAGTTTGCAAGATGGAGGAAGAGAGTCTGAAACAATGGTGGATAGTCTATTGGGTGAGAGAGATCGTAGGTTTCTGCGAAAGGTAACCAGTGTTGGAGGCTCAGGAGTAATGTGGATGTTGAGAGACAGAAGGAAATGATCCGATATTTGTAGTGGAGTTACTATTGTTTGATCAGCGAAGCAGTGTCGTGTGTAAATAAGGTCTAGCTGATTACCTGATTTGTGGGTAGCAGAGGTAGGTGCTCTTTTTAGGTCAAAAGAGGCAAGCAGAGTCTGAAAGTCTGCAGCTTGCGGTTTGTCAACGTAAATGTTGAAGTCACCTAGCACCAACAAGGGAGTGTCAATATTAGAAAAAGATGAGAGAAGAACATCCAGTTCATCTAAGAAGTGACCTAATTTACCTGGTGGGCGGTAGATGACAACCACATTTATGTAGAAGGGGTGGATAATGGTGACTGCATGGAATTCAAAGGAGCTGATTGTTGGCAGGGACGGTATCAGAGTAAATTTCCATTCTTTGGAAATTAGTAGTCCAGTCCCACCCCCTCTCCCTGTGTGACGAGGAGTGTGGGAAAAAGAGAAATTAGCAGAAAGAGTAGCATGTGTAGCAGTGTCCTCCGGCCTCAACCAGGTCTCAGTTAGAGCCATGAGATTATAGTCAGAATATGTAGCTATGGAGGTAATAAAATCTGCCTTGTTAACAGCTGATTGACAGTTCCAGAGGCCCACGGAGAGAGAGAGTTGTGAAATAGCAGATACATGTATTGATGTGGGAAAAAATTTATTGGCACACTGAGTTTTTTTTGTTTTGTTTTGTTTTTTTTAAATCACCACAGCCTACATCAGTTACTGTTGCTGATCATGCTCATTCCTTTATGACGGCAATGAGCTCATAATGTGAAGACATGAACACAATGAATTTGTAATATGTAGATGACCCCAACAGTCACTAGATTAGTGCTAATCAATATGCGTCATCATTCTCAGACATGAATGTCATTAAAATGAATAACTGGACACCCTTCACTCACCTGCCCTACTTTAAGCTACAAGTTTAAGCTACGTATATGCACCCGATTTCACTCCTCTTGCGAAATGTAAAAATATATATTTGTAGAAAAAGCCTATTTGTGACCCTGTCATAAATAACTGCATTATATAAAAGATGAATAGCTAAGCTTTTCATTGATGTAGGGTTTGATCAGCATTTTCTTGCAGCAAGAGTGTCTGCTTTTTGGATCATTGAGCGCCAACTTGCATGGTTATTTGCCATTACAGGACAAAAATAATGTGCCTTCATATTGGAGTAAATAGTGTCTCGCCATCTTTGTTTTGGTCGTCCTGATGGTTGACAACACTTTCAGGTACTGCTTGGAGGATGTGCTCATACAAGTGAAGTTGGTGTCCTGTTATTTCCTCTGTGATTAACACTACACTAAGGCCGTACTCGCACTAGGTACAGTTGCCTTGAACCGAGCGCATTTTGCACTCACTCACAAAAGTACCGCGCCAAAGCCTAAGTGAACCGCGCTCAGGCCCAGCTCTTCCAACCGGGCCAGGGCCGGCCAAGTGAACCGTGCTTGAGCCCGATTCAGTGCACTCACACTTCTCAAACGATCCGGGAAACGGGCCTGGGCATGATACGGATGGCATAGTGTGAGTAGGCCCTAAATTGTTATTGTATGGAAAATTTGTGATATGGTCGAGAATTGATAAGTCCAACATCCAGCAAAACATTCTCTTTCCATTGATAAGAGCTTTCAGAGGTTTTTGTTGCTTCCCAACACTCTGTTACATAAAAATCGAGCTGGCAGTATGAATGTTTTGTAGAAGCTTGATTTGAGACAACTTAGTATTTGTCACACAGCACACCACTGACTTCTTGCCATTGCATCCAAGATGCATTCACTCTTGCTCACACTGATCCCGCCATCTTCCAGCAGATTGTAGCCAAGATACTAGAAGGTCTCAATCTTTTCTAGGTTTTGCTTTTTAAAGAGTCCAAAGATGGTGAGGTGGTCGCTCCACTTCTGGACTTGTTGCTGCACGTCGCAGTGAGCATAATGTCATCAGCATAAAGCACTGACCAGGGTGCATTTCGCTGCAGGTCCCTTGAGATGGTGTTCATTACTAGGATGAACAGATGTGGTAACAGTGCTGAGCCTTTTAAAGGACACCCACTGGAAACTGCTAGGAAGTTCAGCTTGTCATCTCACTTACTTGTGTTTTTTTGACCCAGTTGATGAGTGGTTCAAGTATAGTTTCCTGCAACATGATCTTTACTTACTGTAATATTCTAATGATGTTTGACATAAACAAACATTCATAATTTTGACCCATAATGTTTTTCTTTGTTGGCAATTGCCAAAAATATAGCTGTGCAACACAACACTGGCAGGGTCACTGGCACTGATGTTTTGCTAAGTTTTAAAATACAACATGAGCATGTTCAAATGTTCGGAAAATGTTTACTTTTGTGTCATATTTACAACATATAGCTCATATATTACTGTTGTCTCATCATGACATTTTTATAAACTGGCCCCTATGACAAACACTGAATATCCCTGCACTATTGCATATCTCAGTCCAATAGAGCTAATTTGTGAACAGCAGATTCAAATCACAAACATGCAGCCAGAAATATTTGCAGCAGATTTTCAATATTGACAGAAATCTTTGAGGGATGTTTCCAGCACCTTGTTAAATTCACGACATTAAGAAACAGGGCAGTTCTAAAGGCAAAAGAAGAACCCAGTACTAGCAAGGTGTACCTAAAGTGGTCAGAAATTCAGGCAAAAAGGAGATGTTTCGAGTCTGTGTTTTTCTAGTTACAGCACATAGGGGGCACCAGTTCATTAGCTTATAATGTTAACAGACATGTTCTGCAGGTTAAACTGATTAGGCATCAAAAACATTCAAAAATTCTAAATTTGTGACACCAAAATATATGGTCTTCTTATGACTGAATGAGCAAAAAGAGCTAATTACAACTAATTGAATCTAAAACTTTGCATCAGTAGCACTTGGTGTGCCTCTTTATGATGCATTTATTGATGATTTCTTCATTTGTAAATCGGATAAAAGATAAATGACTAAATGTACTTGTATGACAACATTTAGATATCCCCATGTATTTAGACTGTATATTATTTGTGATTATGATGTAATTAAAACAATGGCTGGTTGTCAGTGGGTTTGATGAAAAATAAGAAAGCATGTACATTATGAGCTTAATGCAATCTAATAAAAATGGAAACAATTAAAATTTTCATTTAAAATACTTAAATAATATGACTCGCTCATTAAGGAGAATACACCAGACTCAGACTCACCAAAGCTTCAATCGCTGAAGAACAAAAGATAAGCCACATCGCATGCACAGCAGAAGGCCTTTACATAAAAAAGACAGCAGTCAGTCAGACACCATCTCAATCAGAAAACTGTAACTTTAGAGTATTTAATTTCTCAAAATCATAAAAGCTACTTCTCCGGGTTTAAACAAACTCTTGGAAAAGCTCCATCATCCACTGTCAGTCTTTATTCTACAGCAACTTGATATAAAAACCTCAGCTTTGTGATCTGTCTATAAATATACATGGTGACAAAGATTTTTCTTTTATACCTGGCACAAGTAATATTTTGATGAACATGCAATGTATTAATATGCAAAAAATTGCAATTAAAGCTATTACTTTAAACTAATTTGTTTATTAAAAAATCCCTAAAGTAAAGCGTGTCACAGTTTCACCGACAATATGAGGAAAGAAAATATGTTTTCAGCACTGATAAGTGTAAAAATCATTCATTATTAGTGATTATGTACCAATAACAACTAATCATAATAGCACAGCAAATCATTATATCATTTAAATCAAGAATCAAGAATCATTTAAATTTGAAACTACATTCAATAAAGAACATTAAAAAAAAGTTCTTTAAAATTGTAATAATATTTCAGAATTTTTTTACCAAATAAATGAGCCTTGTTGAACAGAATTGGCTTCTTTAAAACATCAACACATTTTTTTTTTTAAGTAAGGTGACTTTAATAATCCCTATGGATAAATTAATTTGCAATGCCTTCATCGTAAGGTGGGCAACACATAACCAAATAACATCATAATACACAGTTTCCTAACTTTTGAAGGGTGGTCTAAACCACATTTGTAAGAGAATATTCTTTTCGGTACCAACAAGTGTGTAATTCATTCATTCATTCTTTTTCCTTCAGCTTAGTCTTTTATTTATCAAGGGTCGCCTCAGCGGAATGAACCACCATCTATTCCGGCATATGTTTTATGCCCTTCCAGCTGCAACCCAATACTGGAAAACACCCATACACTCTAGCATTCACACACGTACTCACAATACAGCCAATAGTTTATTAAAATCACATATAGCGGATTTCTTTGGACTGTGGGGGAAACCGGAGCACCTGAAGGAAACTCACGCAAACAGGGAGAACATGCAAACTCCATAAAGACATGCCAACTGATCCAGCCGAGACTTGAACCAGCGATCTACTTGCTGTTTAGAGACAGTGCTAACCACTGAGCCATCATGCCGCCCAAGTGTGTAATTTAAAATACAAAAAATGCATAAACAAATACAAGCAAACTTTCATTTGACTTGCATGCAATTTATGCACACTAATGAGGGTAAATAATGTTTATCTATGCAAACGAGCATCTAAATGTAGCTCTTCATGGACACAGTTCGTATTTCAGTTGTAACAATCAATGGCCTTTTGTCTAGTAGGTCTACAATAGTTTTCCTGTAAAAAGCCACTCCTCCTTCTTATATATATAAACTCACTGATATCGCCCACTTAATTTCCTCTTTAGCTCTGCTTTGACTCAGTGCAGAAATGTTACATATTTCAGCTGCAGCTTTATTGCTCTTTGGCATGGGTGAGTATTATTATCTACCATAAATTATAATGCTATTCAATAAAAATATACGTAATAACATATCTGGAGAGTTATTAAAATCAGAAGAAATATTTTTATTTGATTTTACTTTTGGTTGTATGATTTTTTTTTCTTGTTTATGGACTTTCAGGTTTTCTCAAAGTTATGGTTTCAACAGCAAATATACAGGCTCAGCCAGGAGAAACTGTACCTATGTGGTGTTCACACAGTATCCATGTTTCTGGAGACTTATACTGGTTCAAGCAAACAGACGGTGCTGTACCCATTACTATTGCTAAGATGTTATTCACTGAAAGTCTACAGAAAGTAAAACCAAATTATTTTAATGATTATACAAAGGATCGTCTGGTCATGAATCAATCCATCAAAAGCACTTTACTAACAATTATAAATGTGACAACATCTGATTCTGGCTTCTACTTTTGTGGATTTATGGGATATCCCTTGAAATTTGGCAATGGAACAAGCCTTGAAGTTAAAGGTAATTGTTTTACATCTCTCCCTCTATACAGTATTTTTCAAATAATATTTATTGGTCTTTTTTCTCACTTTGCCATTTGTAGCACATGCTGAAAAACACAGTTCGACTACAATTAAAACTACCACAGCTGTTTCCAGATCAGAGAAAAATGACATAAGAATCTCAAAAAATGGTATATATATTATTCAAATCTTTATATCGAGTTGAAACTGCAGGTATAATACTAGGAATGTTCATATAATCAAACTATAGGGCAAGATAATTACACGCATCACATTTAAAACATTTAGTATTATTAAATTCTAAAAAAGTATTTTTTAAATTTCAATATTTTTTACAGATCATGATGAATGCCAAGTGTCCACTGAGGAAAGTTCTAGAGACATCTTTTTCAAGCTGACTTTTCTGTTTGGTGGCATAATCATTTTCACATGTGTTGTTCCTCTTATTTGGGGGATTATGAGGGTACAAAAACAGCAAAAGCATCAAAAAGGTGATTTTTTTTTTTTACATGTGATAAAAAAAATGTAAATAAATACAAGCAAACCGGCTTACACATTTTTACTTCCTTTTTATCCTAAAACAACTAATTGTCTTTGTTTTGTTGCAGTTACTGAAGTTAAAACACCACAGCACGATGACAAGGTAAATGCCACAAATTAAATTATTCTGAAGTCTAGATTAAAGCATTGCAAAAAAGAAATAAGATTTGTCTTTGTTTAGATGAGAGAATGAAGTGATTTCCCCTCTATTTATACTTTTCTACTAATATCTATTTCAACTAATTTTAATAATTAATGCCTTTCATAGTCAGTAGAAAAAATGTATTTGTTGCATGGGAATACTTTCAAAAGTATGCATTTTGATATTTTTTAAGGCATAGTTTATCCAAAAAACTAAATTTAACCACTATTTACTCACTCTCAAGTGATTCCAGACCTTTATGAGTTTCTTTCTTCTCCTTTGACATCCATAGTAGGAAAAATACAAACTATGGAAGTCAATAGTTAAATGTTTCCAGCTTTCCTCAAAATATCTTCTTTCGAGTTCAACAAAAGAAGAAAACTCATAAAGGTTTAAAACAAGTGAAGGGTGAGTAAATGATCATCTTTTGTGAAACCTTTATGCTTTTTTTTCCCGTAATTTTAGCAAAACTTGTGGCAAACTAAAAGCATAAGTATAGAAAAACTCTATTTAATTTCCTAGTTTTTTTTACAGTATATGTAATTATTTTGTAGTGTTACATATTATTGTATTTGGACTGTAGATTATCTCCAATTTAGTTGGCTATAAAGGAGGTCAGAAGTTTTTGTTGTAAAATTTACATTGAAGATTAAGAAAAAAACAAAAAAGTATCGAAAAGCTTTAGAATAAAATCTACAGGCTTATTCACATGCACTGACAGACCTAGACTAACACGATTGATCACTTGGATTACAGTACGCCTGACAAACAACAGTAAACAGTACATATTAATCCAGCAAAAGTGTCAGTTGTTGTTGATTTGTGTCTGTCGGTGCAGTGATCAGCTGTAATATTTTGTGACTGCTTTAAACTGTAAAAATACTCATAAGGATACAATTTTTCGTATTTGTGAATCATGATTTTATCCTATCATATTTATGTACTGCAAAAAAAGGTTTTCTATTGAATATACTGTTACTTGCCATATATCTACAAAATTCTGAAGTCAAGAAACATATTTAGACAAGCAAAATTAAGTGATTTTTTTTTGCTTAAAACAAGCAAAATAATCTCCCAATGGGGTAAGCTGATAATCTCTTTTTAGATTTTAAATCTTTTTATTTTGCTTAACCCATCAGTGGATAATTTTAAGAAAAAAAAATCATTTAATTTTGACTTATTATTTTTCAAAACAAGACAATATTTTTTACTTTATTTAAAAATTCGTAGATAGTTTGACTATAAAACAAGACAAAAACTACAGTATAAGAAAAAAAAACTTTGCAGTGTGCTTTTGAATTACATTATTAACCTAATTTTCCTTCAACAATTTCTGATGCTGAAAGGTTTGAAAAGTGACTTTTATTGACATTTGTAATATATTTAATGGTAAGATACACTGTCTGGATTAGTGATGTAAATTAAAAATAACCTTTATAAATTTAACTTTCATTATTTTCAGTTATTCTACAGACTTATTTTTCTATACTATTTTGTATACAATATATCATTCATTCATTTATTTTCTTGTCAGCTTAGTCCCTTTATTAATCCGGGGTCGCCACAGCGAAATAAACCGCCAACTTATCCAGCAAGTTTTTGCGCAGTGAATGCCCTTCCAGCCGCAACCCATCTCTGGGAAATATACAATATATTATTTTAAACAACTAAAATGGCAATAAAAGTCACTTTGCTAAACTACAGAATTCACTTTTGCAACATCAAATGTCGACAGAGCAGAGATCAAGGTTCCATAATGCAATCTATAACTTATGAATATATACCTATATGAATGTTAAATATCTTCTTAATTATATCTAAATTACAAAATATGAAAATTGTATTTTTATATTTAGTTTTTCTACAGTCTAGTATTTTAACATAAATATTTGTACTTTGCAGGAAAATGATTCAGTAGAATACGCAGCTGTGCATTTTGCAAACAAGAGACCCAAATCTTCCAGAAGACATGCTGAGGACTCTGTGTGCACAGTTTCTGTCTATACTGATGCTACTTGAAATTTATAATTAAACATTTTTTTTTTTTTTAGTTTAACTATGTATGCTTCAGTTTTAATATCTAAATATTTTCACAGTTTTACCTTTCAAGAAATGTTACTGCATTGACAAAGTCTTTATAAGCAGATTTCCTCTGCATTTTTATATATTTTTTTGCATTAACAAAGTTTGACTCTGGAAATTAATTTATCCTTCAATTCACAAAACTGTGAGTTTCAGTCGAGCTTAAAATCTTTGAAGTTTATCTCAGTTTGGATTCTTAATTATTCAAATTATATAATCACTACATTATCCAAATATAATCGTTTTGCTTAATTTGATATTGTAGTTGTTTATTTGCCAGATGACAATTTAAGTCATGCTCAAAGATTTGTGTGAGATTTTGTTTTTTGCTAATCAAACAAAATAAAACAAAAAAGTTGGAAACCAATAATCAAATTAATGTCAATAATCAATATCTGCTTTTAAATTGTGTATCTAGTTTTAAATCATCAATGCCAGCTGTGCACAGGCCAGCTGATTGGCAGGTTTATCATAGGCTTGCATTAGCATAAGCCACGCCCCCTGATATAAATAAAGCAGATGGGGTTCCTCATCTTAATCTCCTCGTTGGATCTAGACTGATATACAGCAATGGTGTGTTTATTAATTTCAGCAATGTTGATGGGTAAGTGTTACTGCACTAAAAATACCTTAATCATGCACAATTATGATCTTTAAAAACAGATTTTGTGGGGCAATGTATTGTATGATACTAGGATTTTAAATAAAACATGTTATTTCTCTGGATTTTAGGTTTGCTTTCACTTGTCAAATCTTCTCAGATAGTCAACATATCAGCTCAACCAGGAGAAAATGTTACTATTTGGTGTAAACACACCTCAAACACTGGAAAGAACATACACTGGTTCAAGCAGACACACGGTGCTGTTCCTGTTGACATTGTATACAAGATGATAAGCTACCAGCTTAAGGAAATATATGTAAATTATTTAAATGGTTTTCAACAAGACCATTTTGTTATGTCTCTAAACACAGAAAACACATCACTAAGTATTTTAAATGTGGATATTTCTGATTCTGCTCTGTACTTCTGTGGTTGGGGCTCTTGGGAGATTGTGTTTGGGGATGGAGCACATCTAGACATTGAAGGTAAACTTTATTAAAAGCACTATTAGAAAAAATGCTTTCACACATTATACCATAGCTGTTCACAGTAATAGTTTTTCAACACTGTTTTTGTGATGCTATGTAGAGAAGTTGTTTTGATTCGCTAAATGACTCATATTTTAATTCTTACTTTACTGCGCAGTGAAAAGCGAAGGATCTCTAAAAAATGAAACTGTCACAAATACGGTTACAAACACAAATACAGGTTATAATCTGTCTTATATTAACACTCATTATGTTCATAATTTATATACAGCATTATATTAATCTATAGATGTGAAATGTGATTTACTTTTAACAGATCTTAAGGGTCCGATTTCTACTAAGGACTGTCCTAGAAACATTTTTTATATGCTGACCTTTATTTTTGGTGGTATTATTGTTATTCTTCTGATCGTTACTCTCACCTTTTTTATTATTAAGATCAGAAAAATACACAAAAAAGGTAACAGCACATTTATTTTGATAAATACAAATGTTTCAAATTTAGTTAAAAAAAAAAAACCTAAGAGATAAATATGTCATCATTCTCTGTGTTGGCAGATGAGGATCAGCATGCAACTCAACATCATGAGGTAAAAAAAAAAGAACTGTTTGACTACATTTTGGGAATAATTATCAAAAATAAAATACAAAGCTTTTAAAACTACAAATCCCCGTAGACTTTAAACACCCCTCCCCCCCAAAAAAAAGTATGCAAAAGTGATTTTTTGAAAATCTGACATTTAAAGGAGTCATAAAATAATTTCCCATATCAGTGTTTATCAACATTCTTTATTGTTCTTTGTGTCAAATACATACAGCCTGTTGTTTTCTATTTAACATTTAACTATTTTTAACATTTAATTATTTAAAGTGAAGGGTTTTGAGTTTCTCTTGTTGAACAAAATGTTCGGTAACCATTGACTTGGATGGCATTTGGTTTTCCTATGATGGATGTCAATTGTTTCCAATTTCCTACATTCTTCAAAATATCTTCTTTAGGTTTTCCACAGAAGAAAGATACAAATACGGCTGCACAATATTGGAAAAATTACATATTGTGATATTTTTTCATTCTGCAATATATATTGCGATATGAATACAATTTCCCTAGATGAGTTAAATAAATGTTTGTAAAGATTCTATCATTTTAAATTGACTGGAAAGATTTTGTAGGGGAGTGCATAAAATATAAAACAAATATATTATATATATTATACAAATATATTATATATATTTTATAAACAATTCAATAAAAATAACTGTTATTAATTTTTTTAAGTAAAATTTATTGTGCCTAAATGCCTTTTTAAAGCCTCACAGTCACAGGACTCAAAAACACTTGCAAAATAATAAATTATAATCCAGACTCAACATTGTGTTGACTCATAATCACACTGCAATATCAATGCTGAAATGATATATTGTGCAGCCCTAATACTCACAAAAGTTTGGAACCCCTGGAGAGTGAGTAATTAGTGATTAAAGCATTATTTTTGTGTAAACTTTCTCTATAAAATCAATACATTGCTTAATTTTTATTTTTTTATTTATTAGTTTGTATTTATTTGAGAATCCAACTCTCATGGTGAGTATTTAAAAAATATATATAATTAATAATACTGACAACAATAAATGAAATATGTTAACAAATATATAAATAATATATTAATAAATATATTTAATAATACATAAAAATGCTTAAATGTACGGTTAATTCCAAAAAGTAACAAGTAAAACAGGTAAAAACAATAAATCAGTAAGTTCAATTGTAAATTCAGAGAATTTAGTAAGATGCAGATAATAATCCTAGTTTCGTCAACGTTTATTTTTTATGTTTTGATTATTTTTAAGTTTTATTTTTCACAGTAAGAAAAATAACACCACTGTCATTAAATGTGTTTCAGGATGCTCATTCATCAGTGTATGCAGCTTTACGATTCTCAAAACAGAAAACCAGAAGAGCAGCTGGAGATAATGAAGATAGAGAAGTTATATGTTCTGCTACAAGATGACACCCAATCAATTAATGTAACCTAATGTTTTGTCAAGGCTCTAATATTTATACACTATTGGTTTATGTGAACTCTGCAGTTTTTCTATAGCACATGACAAAAGTTAAGAGCATCAAATGTGCAGAAAGCCATTTACAGTCTTTTGACCTTTATTTTGATCTGCTGTATTATGAACATGTGCCCGTATTCAAGAGGCAGGGGCTGCGAGTGATGTAATTTCCTGTATAGACCCTGACAGGAAGAAGCTCTTCAGAGTAAAGCAAGACGTGCAGAGGGAAACTTTAGCGGACCAAATACAAAGCCGTAAATATACATATCAAAAATAGCTATGCAAATTATTACATCATTTCATAACGGTTCAGTACCACGTAAGCTGCAATATCATAAACATTTTGATAACAGTCAATTACAAAGCAGTAAAATGTTACTTTAAAAAGAATAATTCTGATTCTGTGTGAAACTGTTAAAAAATATATAAATAATAAATGGCATAGGCAAGGTTTTGTTAAATGTCTGAATGTCAGTGTATGAATCTGTTAGTGCATCATCAGATTGACAGTTTTCCACCCACCAAACTGACCCAAGCTCAGTTCTCAAAGCTAAACCACACAAACACAAACACATCACGAACGACACACCACTTTCCATAGCTACACACAAAATACCCCTTGTTTTCAACTGAGGTGAGAAGTCAGTGATGACAATAACTTGCATTTAACAAAGGTGAGATTGTGACTGTCGAGCTATTATGAAAGCACACTTTAAAATGTTGCTCTGAAAAATTTTTTTATAAATATTTCCCATGTACTTTTAGCTGTTGTGACATCTAATGACAATAGGTGACATTTCCAAATAAACATGCCTTAATTACCTCCCATGCTGAGTATGGGAGCTTCATGTAATTAATAAAATAAACCTTATATTTTAGCTAAAATACAATTAAATACAATGAAATAATGGTTATTGTTTTGTGCTGCAGTTGCATTAAAAATACCATTACAAATGCAATTTTAAAAGGTTAGATCTTTAACAAAATCAAAAACTTACAAATGTACAATGCATATTTTGCACCAAATTTTTGATAACTGAAAATATATAGTATAATGTTTAATTCATAACATTTTGTGTCGAAGTGTTATTGTTAATGCAATGTTAAAGTGTGCAACTGCTTGCATAGCACACTTTAGCTGCTTTCACACGGCAACTAATGGTTTCGAAACCAAACGTATGCCACTAAATACATACAAGACATCACATTCAATTCAGAGCACTCAGGTTGCGGTCAGCCTTTGTTTCTGAAAGTAACATTGAATAAACAAGCAGTGTTAAGCAAGCTTGGGTCTCTGTGGGTAAAACTTTCCATACACAATCTTATTTCAGTGAAACTCAAATGGCAGTTTGACAGCTGGCTATGTTCAGAATTTGTCGAAACAACCAACCCTCTATAATATAATATAATATAATATAATATAATATAATATAATATAATATAATATAATATAATATAATATAATATAATATAATATAATATAATATAATATTCATTCATTCATTCATTCATTCATTTTCTTGTTGGCTTAGTCCCTTCATTAATCTGGGGTCGCCACAGCAGAATGAACACCGGATGCCCTTCCAGCCGCAACCCATCTCAGGGAAATATAATATAATATAATATAATATAATATAATATAATATAATATAATATAATATAATATAATATAAAGTTATATAATAATTTTATATAATATTTATGTATATACAATTGTACACATACATATATAAATATAAATTAAAGACAACGATGCAAATAGCTTTTTTAATAATAGTACATTATAGTATATAGTAAAAGCATATACAATATATTTTAAATAAATAGTGATCTTATTTATTTAAGTATTTATTTATTTTTGCATGCTAACACATTATTTAACTAGATGTTCTGGATCACATTGTGCACCAGTTCATTGCATATTAATCAGAGAAAATTCTAAATAAAACCCCATTTATAATTTCAAATGTATTATAAATTATAAATCCCCTTTAGCATTCAGTGCTGTTTTTAGACATAAAATTATATGGCCTAACACAGTGTACCGCTTAAGTCATGTGAACTGAAATAAATTTTTCATTAAAAAAATGAAGTAAATGCAATTGATTGACATTGTGGGGGAATGTTTTGAGATTGAGAAATAGATTGGGACAAAAGGGATGTTTTGAGAATGCGTTTTACTAATGACTACAATTAGGGGGCACCGGTTAGCTGATGCTTTATATGACAGATAATATTGTTAGTAGTGGTCATATTTGTGGACATAGTCTGGGGATTAAATAATAGATTCTGCATTAAAATCATGCAATATAAGTTCAACAATTATGACAGGCGGAATTTACTGTAATACCACTGTACGCAGTTTTTAAAACTGTAAGTGTTATGACATTCAAATATTCCCTGCATATGTATATTATATATACATAGTATACATAATTTGTGAGAATGATCAAAACATTATTTCTTTGCTACACAGTAAGCTCAGTGTCACTTTTTAATATTTTTAAATAGGCCAAAAACTAATATACATGAGACTTAACAATAATACAATATTACCTGTTGATCATTACGATACAACAGACACACTCACAGAAGCTCCAATCACGAACAGAAGAACTAAACCACAGCACACTTTGTACATCTTGGGTCAGAAGGCCTGAATGGAAAAATCACAACAGCCAATCAGACATTGTCTAAATCACAAAGACGAAACCTGACTCCCCTAAACCCACACATCTTACAAGAACACTCCCTAAGATGTGGCCGAATGCACAGAGAACCTTAACTATGATAGCATTTCTCCTCATATTTTTTCTACCCTTCAGGACAGGTGTGTTTGCTCTGGAAGAGGGATCTATTCTATAATGTTTAATCTTATATTAAGGAATATGTTATTTTGAATTTATTTTTTGCTTTTCTCTTCTCAGGCTTGATCACATCTGATGCTGTATTTCAAAAGAAAGTGCTGGAAAGCTTTACTGCTGGTCAAACTGTGACTTTAGATTGTTTAATTTCTGTAAATCTTGAAAACTATTTCTCTTGGTTTAAGCAAACCCTTGGAGAAGCTCCAACGTGCATTGTCAGTCTTTACGCTGAATCTTCAACACCAGTGTTTTATGGAGAATTCAAGAATAACCACAGAATGTCAGTTCAAAAGGAAAAAAATACTTTTGTTTTAATTATAAAAGAAGCAAAGCCATCGGATGCTGGAATCTATTACTGCGGTGCTCGTGACTACGATCTTATTACTTTTAGTAATGGACTCTTTTTAAACTATAAAGGTAAGTAAATCTAGCAAAATACAGTCACACTGCCAGTGCTAATGAAAAATGGTTACATAAGAGGCTAAATGTAAGTCAGCTACAGTGACTCTCATAAAGTATTGATAGATCGTTACACTGTAAAAAATGCTGGTTGAAATCGATTTGTGTTTTAGCAACATGAAGGAATTAAGTTGACATTAGTTTTTACAAATTTAAGTGGATTGAACATAAAAGAATTAAGTTGTCGCAAAAACACTCAATAATTGTGTTGTTTCAGCTCATTTTAAATAAGTAACAAAGAGAACAAACAGAACAAAGAGAAAACATCATTTTTTTAGTGTAGTTAAGAATATTAAAAGATTGTGAGAAAGACCTTATGTATGGACGAATGCATCTAATCCGTAAAGTTCTTTAATTTCAGTTGCAAGTACAAAACAACATCACATTAAGCAGTTTTTGTCTGGACCGAACTTGGGTACTGAACATGAGCCTGAGTTTAATCCAGGAGACTCTGTGAATCTGCATTGTTCAGTTCTCACTGAGAGATGTGAAGAAAATCATAGAATCTACTGGTTTAGACACGAATCTGGAGATGCACATCCAGGACTCATTTACAAGGATGGAAACACGACTGATCAATGTGAGAAGAGATCTGAGAAAGACGTGCAGTCCTGTATCTACAATCTGCCCAAAAAGAACCTCAATTTAACTGATGCTGGGGTTTACTACTGCGCTGTGGCCACGTGTGGAGAGATACTGTTTGGCAATGGAAGCAGGATTAATATTAGAGGTGAGAGAATTATGATTTAAAGATTTTGATTGCAGTTTTAATATTTACACCTTTTTTATTTTTTTAGAAGCAAGTTCTAAATTCTCCTGGACTGATGTAAAGGTTCCTGTTTTGGCATCAACAAATATATTGTGCTTGGTGATCATCGTTATTCTTCTATGTAAGAGAGCACAAAAACAAAAACAGAAGTTTTCAGGTAAACAATTTCATGATGACCATCCATAATGTGTGATAATGTTGATAAATAGAGCATTATTAACACTGATTTATCTTGCATCTGACCTAAGTTCTACAACTGTTCATGTTTACTTTACATACTGTTAATTTTATCATTTGAATATGAAGTAAATGTGTTTTAAAGTACTCAGAAAGTTATGTATGTATCATTTTAGATTTAAAAAAATGTATTTAAATAACAGAAATGAATAAAAGTGTGATTAGTGAAACTAAAACAGTGATTTCTTTTATAGAAAGCCAACCATTGCAAACAACACTTTCTTCTACTCCTGCTAATGAGGTAATTTTTTAATATGAATTGCTTTTTTTGTGTTTTGGGTAGAGTGCTTTGATTTTATATTATCAATGTTGGCTTTATTGTGTTTCTAAGGATATAAGCTACGCAGCTGTACATTTATCTGGAAGCAGCAGACATGAGACTGAAAAAGGCTCATGCACACATGTGGTCTACTCCACTGCCAGAGGTTACAGCATCAAAGAATAATACAGTAATAAATAAGAAGAGATAACTACATATATATTTTCCTGTAGAGACTACATATATTTGATTTCAATGTTGTTTTGAGCTTTAATAAAATAATGGCATGGTTTAACCAAAACTTTTGTCTTCTTCACTTCTCCACAAGGAACAAACAGTCAATGATGCATCAAACAAGTTATGGATGTATTTATTGAACTAGGCTAATGAACAAGTAAGCAAAACTTAAAAATTGCAATATACAGTTAATGTAATACTTTAGAGAGACAAAATATATCAAGTAAACAACAACCAAAGATGGCATTTGATAAAAAATAAAATAAAACTTAAATATGTTTGCTTTGATCTGAACGTTTATTTACATTTATGGGGTTTTTCAGTTGATTACCGGACTTGAACATGTTAAAAATACTCTAATAACTTTTTATTTAAGCTTATCTGAAACAACTGAATCAGCCGTGAAATTTAAACCACACTGAACTGAAAACTTAAAAAAAAATGGACTGACACTGTTTCAATGTACTATAATATTCTATGTGAACACAACCTACATTGCAAAAGCGTTATAAAAAAATACAGATGAATTGAATTGGAAATAAAATTTCACAAGAGTGGGCTGTTTGTTTATTTAATTAACGTTACACCTTACTGTTGAGACTCGAAATGTTATGCCATGTTAAATTCTTATTTTAAATGAAAGATACATAACGTTACTGATTAATTAATATTAATGAAATCATCTTGATATGTTTAGCTATAATGGACAATTTATCAGATTAGCAACACAACAATAGCAAACAAACAAACAGCGATGGGCCTGCCTAAAGCTAATCATGTTATGTTACACGTTGTAAAATGTGTATGAGACACATATTCGGTCCAACTGACATCTACTCACATTTGTGTATGAGCTCCATCCTGTTTCTTCTTTAAGACAAAACTGTCCTGTCGTTTCTAAATTGTTTTGGGCAACTTCGTTAATTTGTTGGGTTATTTTTCCCAGCTAATTTAAACATTACGATTTCGTTACCGATTGTTTGCTTCTGGTTCGGTGAAGCGTTACATGATGCTGAATGCTGATTGGTCTGAATTTCTAATCCTAACAATGATTGGTTGTGTATTTTGATGAGTCACCAACAGTTGTTTTTGAGTGATTTTGAATAACCATTCTGTTTGGTCGGTTATAAGAGTCCGACGATATTATGTAAAAGCTAAAGTAAATATTTACACTAAAGTACAGGAGATCCCGTGAAAGTGAGTAAAACAGTTTGATATTTATTCTTACTCCTCCTGTTTTACGTTTTTGAGAGAGTTTGTCCTGACAGGTAAGGTTATTATCAAACGATAATCCACAGCAAACTGCATTTATTATTTGAGAATGTTTTAATATGCCGTAATTATTGAAGGCCAAGTACTGAAATATACAAATATTAGCTAACCTTTCAACTTGCTGAAACGTATAGATAATAGACTGATTTTGAATAACAAATAATGACCTTTATATATTTACAATAAAGGTTTCAATACTCTAAATACCAACCCAATAAATGACACTTCAGACCACATAAGAGGAAAATGTGGTGCAATAGGTCAAGCTGCATGTAATATGCACAAAACCTCCACCTCAAAGCTTGATTTTTATCTCTTCATTCCTTTCGATCATTCGTTTTGAACATTGGTCATATAATAAAAGACTGTTGCATTTCTGGAGATCAAAGATGACTAAATGATCATACAATGACAAATCACTTTAAAGTATATAATATTAACAAGGAACCCGCTCAACTACCCTTAGGGGTTCCCTGGACCCCAGTTTAAACTGTCTGCTCATTTAAAGAAACTGCTGATTTTAAAGAACCTTTAATAGATTCGTCATAGAACCATAAATGCTAATAAACTAAAAATTAAAATGTACTTATTTTACAATTGTGTGGCAGAGAAGCATTCATTAGATCTCTAAAGTATTTATAATAAGACATTTTTTGGGGAAACAAAATTATTTGGAACTTTATTTTGAAGATTGTACTAGGAAGCTGTTATATAACAATAATAATGAACAAGAATTATTATAATGAACATCACTGTAGTCCAGAGGTTTTATTTTGTACATATAGTTTTACGTGTCAAATAGAATAATATGTACATTTCCCCCTTTCGTACACATAATGGTTACATACGATTTCCATCCACAGACATGATCTTTCACACTTTGTTCTGCATCATAACCACAAACGCTATTTTAAGACATGCTTTTAACACCTCTTCATTTGATGTTTTATGCAGTTGTTTGGGCTAGAGTTAAGAATCAGATAAATAATAAGCATAATGAATAAAAAAAAAATCTAAATCATCTGAAATTTGAACAAAAATGGTTTTACTTTTTATTACTGTTATATAAATACCATACTCACCTGAGGATTTTACATCAGATATTAATATATTCTGCAACTGAAAGTGATTGTTTTATATCATATTAATGTGACTCATGTTTTTAAGTTAACCAAAATGAAAAAAATAAAAAATCAGTGTATTTAGTCTGTGTATGGATAGTATTATTACATTATTTAGTATTATTACATTAACATCTAGCGTTAGAGAGCAGAATGCACTGAAAGCAAGTAAAGCAAAAATACCAGACCTCCAGTAATTCTATGTGATTTTAATGTAAATGAACTCACCCACTGGCCATCCAAGACTTGACTTTTTTCTTCAGTAGAACATTAAGGAAGATTTTAGCTGTGGTCTTTGGTGAATTAATAAATGCATATCAGTTGCTAATTTGTGAGTAAAACATACATTACAGTGATACATTGGTGTCTTACGAAGCAAAAAAGCCAGATAAGTCGACACGATAAGCAATTTGGCTGTCTACACCAAACGTGACCTACAGTAACATGACAACAACATTTATATATTAGCCACTACACTCAAAAGCACTACACTGGCAAAAGCTTTTAATTTAATTAATACATATTTAACCTCTTTAACATTGTTAATAGGCTACTTAGTGACTTATGTTGTTAGTTTGCACTGGGTCACAGTTCGGACTTTCATTTTCAAACCGTCTGTTTGAATTAGTTGAATTCAATTATTTTCTGAGGTGAACAATCTGCTGCTGCTGCTATCAATACCATGTTCATAAATGTCAAGTGAATTAGTATTTAAACTCACACGGGTAACATGTAACACTGATTAAGCACATAATCTGTACCTGAGGTGATAATTGTCATTGCAGCATATGCTGTTGTCCCGCCATAACATTGCGAAAATAGAAAGCATTTCTAAAATAGAAATTTTGCAAATCACAGTAGCAGATGGTCAGAACAAAACCTCTTTTTAACATGGGAAAAAAACAATCCTTTTTTAAACTTTCTAATCAAAAAGTTTCACTTTGTCGCCCTGATTTGACGAGGGGGCGGAGTCAAGGAAACGGCTGTAAGACCACCTCAGTGATATTTTCTCCCCAGGTGATGACATCACAAATTGAGGCAGGTCTGGGTCTGCTGTAAATGCCCAAGTTCTGTTGACTCTGCCCCCTTTTCAAATCAGGGCCACAAAGTGAAACACGCAGAAACGTGAAGTGCAAAGTGAAAACAGCATCGCAACTCACGGTTGACTAAAAAGCAAATCAAAATGATGATTGCAACTGACTGGATGGTTTTTGTAAAGGCAATGCTATAAAAAATGTTGTGCATCGCTAGTTTTTTTTAAAATTGCAAATAGTTGTTATTTTGCACAGCTTGATTTTTATTTGCAGATTTATTTTTGTTAGCAAAATAAATTTTTATTTATCAAAAATGTATTATGGATTTGCGATTTTTGAAGATTTGCATTTATTTATTGTTTTTATTTATTATTATTTTTTTATTGATCAATACTTTATTTTTTGTTTGCAAACTCTTTTATTTTGCAAGTAAACAGTATATAGCCCTAGATTGAATCCATAGTTACTTACTATTTTAAATCATGGGCCAGTATAAGACTCTAACTGTTTGATAAACGTGGATAAAAAAAAATCAGGGTTTCACGGTATCATAGTAATGTGATTACTGCTATAAAATATATTCAATATTTTATTTTGAAAAACTTTTTAAATATTTTGGAGCAGTAAACATGTCAGGCTAAAACATGTTAATGAATTATTGACTTCTGCTGTCTTCATTAGTTTCAAAAACACAGATTTCTTTACAATTTAAAATGGCATCATTGTATATCTTTTCTGCTGAAGATGCTGTTGTTTTAAAAAAAAACTGTAAATAAAAAAAATCTTAAACATACTGTAGGAACAGCATTACAGACAATTTTGGCGGTCTTAAAACCTTGACTTTTCCAAACCGCAGTATACCTTGAAAAAGGTTATCGTCCCATGCCTATTTGTAATTATTTCATACATTTTTTAGCAATTACTGAGGAATTTGTAGACAGCGTTTGACCAATTCTCAGAATGTTCACACTTCTTTCAAAGCATTTTCTTATTTAATGTAAGATTTTTTTATATACATTTAAAAATTCATCCAATGTTAAGCATGTGTAAATATGCAAGCATGCACATCTGTGAACACAATATTACTCACTCATCTCAGACATATGAAAAAACACAACTGAAGTTGAAAACATTAACATTTATTTATTGATTAAAAGGTTATACATTTTATGATAAATATGGTCTTTTATTGTATTATTGGCAAAGATACTATGATTCAAATTGCATTTCTATACATAAATACAAAAATCTGAGGTAGGGCCTCAAGGATAAATGACATTTAAAATAAATTATGCCTTTTCATATATATTTATTTTTCTCATTTTATATATTTTTTACACTCTTTTTTTCATTGTTGTCCGGCATAGGATTCAAAATCTAGATATTTGTCATATTTATACTCTACAATCAAACTCAAAGGATGCCATGATCAGTTGGAGGTACGCATCTGTATCCATAGGCAGATTTCCCTCATGTAAAACACACAGAAATATATGACATTACCCAAGTAATAAGACATTTTACCTATGCTCCGATAGGTCCACAGTAAAGTGCCAAATGACACGACATACATTACAATATAGACTGACCACATAATGACTGATTGGAAGCTACTCTGTATCGTTATTCTGAAATACACATAATAGTTTATTACCAGAGGACATCTTTAAGGCCAAAGGTTACCTGAAGATGTCATTTAACATATTGGCACACATCAATAATGACCACTAGATGAAGGATGAGTGGCAGTATCTCAGTCTCCTAAATACACAGAATAATATAGTTTATTTTCTTTTGTTTATATATATATATATATATATATATATATATATATAGGCTTTTTGTATATATATATTTATTTTTTTCATATATTTGTTGTATATCGTCTTTTAGAATGTATGTTTTCTTTTTTTTCAGAACCTTTTGAGAAGTTCTCCTTCTTTGGTTGCCTACTGCCCAGTGTCGCCCTGTAGGTAGGAAGAGGTGGTAAACTCACATTCGGGAAAAGGAGCGGAAAGGGGAAGCAAACATGGACAAATAATCCACAGCAACACAAACAGCACATGCAAGACTGGTACGTATTATTATTATTATTTTTTTTTTACCCATAGAATATTTGTTACGTGAAGGGAGTGTAACTATAGCTCTCGGACAGACGTACAGCAACACAAGGACTAACAGAAACTCCATCCAGAACCTTAAATATTACAATAATGATAACCACAGCAGCTGTTAACAGTTCAGATATTTAAATGTGCTTTGAACATTTTGTTGTTGTTGTTGTGCTATGCATGATACACTCTTAAAATAAAGGTTCTTAAATAGAGATTAAACATTTCTCCAAAGAGACATTTTTAAAATCCAGTTGCTATAATGTTTTTTGAGCAACGTATACAGAACCTTTTGTGAAAGAAAAATCATAAAGGGCACCCATTTTACCCCTTTTTCAAGATTTAAGTCTTTTGTGTCTCCAGAATGTGTTTTAGCTCAAAACACCCATCAGATTATTTATTATACCTTTCAGAATATTGAAATTTACTGTTCTGAACAATATGTAGCTGTTTTTGTTGCCTGTGCCTTTAATGCTGGTTGTGCCTTTAATGCTGGTTCTCCCCACTCACTGTTCCCACGTGCCTGTCAGAGTGTGCCGTAGTCTCCGACTGCATCAGTTTAACAGCACAGTGACAGACTTGAGGACAGCAGATATCACTTTACGTTTGTAAGAAATACTACAGTAAGAACTTTCCCAATGATTATTTAATGTATTTGTTTTGTTAATTCAAGTAAATTCAGTAAAATCATTGTAATTCATTACAAACATGCAGTTTTAGAAACGTTTTGAACTTGTAAAACTCATTCTTGATCACATTTGATGATTGATGATGACAGCGAGCTCAACAGATCTTTTAATCCCTTTGCACACGTCCTGTCTTGTTACTAGAACCATGTTATACGAGGCTGCAAAATCAAATCGTTCGGTGGGGAAACTGCACTCCTACATCACGTTTTGGTGGACCTCAAAATGGGAAAGATTTTCGCTTTCTATCACAATTTGACTGTGGACACACTATACATACACACAGTTCTTTCCAAACAGCTTCCAAAAGGTGATTTTCATCATAGGTGCCCTTTAAAAAGTTTTTTTTTCGTTGGCATTGATGGTTTCATTCCACAAAAAATATCTTTACAGTGGAAAAAAGGTTCTTTAGATTATGAAAATATTCAGAACACTATGAAAGAAATTGACCCTTGAAGAACTTCACTAAAAGTTTCTTTTTCCTACCAAAAAAGGTTCTTCTATGGCATCTCTAGGGAAAACCCCCATTTGGTTCTTTACAGCACCTTTATTTTTAAAAGTTTGGAACCCATAATGTCAATAAAGAAGCTTTATTTTTAAGAGTGTAACTTTTTTAAAATAAGTACTGTATTTTCCAGAAAAATGGCTTTAAAGACCTGAATGACAAGCATCAGTGTGTTAGCGTTTACTTCTTTTTGAAGCGTATGCTTTCAAAAGAGAATAGATTCTGATTGGCTGTTCATGTTTTTTTTTGTGCTCATGAGGTGAAAAAACAGTTTAAAGGTAATTCTAAAATTGTTCCTGTCATTACAGCTATTGTGGACTTCTGCCATATATATTTTTTGTTTTAATAAAATTAATAAAGATTTTTATAACTTTTCTTTTATTTTACAAGACTTAACACACTATTCAGATTATAATAATCCAACTTATATTCTGGAAAATACTGTATATAAATACTGTATAGCAATTTCAGTGCATACAAACCAAGTATATTGTGGATCTCAAACTGACTACCAGGCTGCATTTGATCATGTCTGGATGGTTGGATTATTATAAATATATATGTATATACTGTAACATGAAACGCTGCATATATTTCCACACATTCACACACACACAAACGTATACTACACAGAGATTAAACATGTATCAGAAAAAGCATCTCTTTTATATATACTGAGGAACACCTTTGTTCTGTTTTATAAATGCTGAATATTCAAGGTGATTAGTGTAATATCTGCATATTACATGGCTTTTGAAACACATCACTCCCAGGCAAAGTTATTATTCTGGTTATTGCGTGGGCAGTGTGGCTTTCTTAATTTGTAATACTATCTAAACTATATTCACAGTAGTTATCATTCAGATATACATTTTTAACCAACCAACCAATAAACAATAAAAATAAAATACTACTTGCTTTTTAGTTTTAGCTTTTTTTTTAACCATTGTGGTTTTTTAAAGAGCAACCACCAAATTTTGCGTGATGTTTACTCAAAGTGCTTCTTGTAATCGTCTGTTGCCCAAAGCAATATTACTATAACATTATATCTGTAACCATATTTACAGTCCAATATCTGGAAACAGGACAATAATAATATACGTAAGAATTCAGTTTCTCAATATATGGCCTTATATTCTGAACAATATGCACTTTTATGTATCGGTTATATAATTACACTACAAAGAAAAATGAAGCTTCCACAAGCTGTTATCCAACATATGATACGTTTGATGGAACGGAGTAATACCTGAGACCCTGTTTCATGAAGACAAACAGACAAACAGAGATGGATGACGTCCATAACCAAAAACAAAAGGAGTGTGGTCCCAAAGCACATGATTTCAGATCAAAAACATTAGCTTTTTTATCCTAATCTACATATCCTGTGCAAGCAACTGTTAAAAAATATCATCACCTAGATCTAAAATATAATTTTTTAAACAGAATTACCAGACAAACACCACACTCCTAAGTTTTTCCTCGGCTTTTCTTTTTTGTGCTCCACTAGAACTGTGTACTGCATAAGAACATGAGGATTCACAACAGATCACGACACGTACTCGAAAGCATACTCTAAATATTAGTATACATACATAACTGCTAGTTGGCCGTTGAGTGCTACTCTAAACAACACTGAAAGGTATTATTACAGTTTTGCATGGCTAATTTTTCTCTGAAGAAAGGGATGGATCTACTGTTCACTACTGGAAACCTACGCTATGAGTTTTGCTTCTATACCACTGTAAAGATAATTCGGATAGAGATATATATCTGTACATATAGAGATATGTAGAGATATTTTTAGTAAGAAAGAGTAGTATAATTCACAGAGACTGAAATGCGCTCACTTCCCTCCATAATGTAGTATGATTGGTTTAATTAGCACTATACTATGCAGTATTTTATAAATAGAGGAAGTCTGAGGCACAAGGTACAGCTATAAGTGGACACGAGTGGAGAGCGATACCAGAAAAGAGTTCAAATTCACTGTGCACTACTCAGCAGCTTATTTCAATTATGTTGCTGTATTTAAGAGATGACAAGCAAATAGTCCATAAATATAAATATTATTCTCATCATTTTTGTTCTCGCTCTCTTTTTTTTTTTTTACATCAGCAGTCACTTCAGAATGAAAAATAAATTAAAAAACAACCACTGCATGATGCACAGTCAGTCAAATATTGCCTCAACAGTTGCAACAGCATCATTATATTGCCTCTGAGAAAGGATTCAGCTGGGATCGAATGCGCATGACCTCCACTCTCAAACCGACTAGAATTATCCAGAAAACCAAAAAAAAAAAAAAAAACCTAATTATAGAAGTTACTGTGCTTTCCACCTGAAAGAACCCCTCAGAAAGAGCCGGAAGAGGGGGATATGGCTGAAAGAGAGCGCTATGGATAGAAGGGGAGGTTGAAAGGGAAGAGTTTGGTGTGAGTGCTGGTCTCACCCTCAGGGGTCTCGGGATATTTCACACTCACAGGGAAGGAGGAGGATTATTGATATTGGGCTGATAGCTGGAAATCTTTGGGGGGGAGTTTGAGGCCGAGGGAGTTCGTGCCAAGTGGGTCGATCATGTTCTTGTAGCGTTCGCCACGGTGTTTCATCAGGAACGGACCCCAGTCGGGTTGAGGAGAACATACCAACTTCAGACGCTGCAGAGAAAGAGGAAAAAGGGCATGAATAGTGCATAAAGCCGGGACACACAAAGCCAACAGTCTGTCGTTGGGCAGCATAGGGCCATCTGTGAGCTTCTGTCAGGATAATTTATTTGGTGTGTTCCACATGTATTTGCAAATTATATGAATTATCAGGTTATCTGACATATTTGCAACAGCAAACTCCTCTGTTGTGAGTGAGAAGAACAGTGAAAATGATACACTGCTTTGTTTACAGTTTTTATGTGGGATGCACTAGTTCCAGTTTCCTTTTGTGGAATGACAATACAGTCTACTGGCTTCTGCAGGCAGTGTTGGGGAATGTTTTTGTTTTAAATGCAATACATAGCAATCTTGCGTCACCTTCTTTTTTAAAATGTGCTACTTAGTTAATTTTTATGCAAACTAATGTGCCATGTTGTTTTTGCTTTTTTTTATCTCAGCTGAGCTCGTAATATACTACTTTTAAAAGTAACTTTTCCCAACACCGTCGGTGGGTATTGACCTTATTCTGCAATGTGGAAATTACAATTGTTTTAGAACTTCCGAATCAGTTGCCTGTAGGAGAAATAAACAGCAGATAATGGTCAAATTAATTGCTTTACAAACAATCATGTTCATGACTATTCATAAAAAGTAGAATATCAGTTTGCAGCATCCTGGAAGTCTTGAGCCTATAAGCTTACAATAGTGGTAAAATAATGCAAATTTTAAGGCAAACTAAATATTTAAAAAATATATATTTCATATTCACCACTGTCATTTAACTAAAATTAATAAAAAATGATTAAATGCTGTAGAAATATATAAAAATAAAAAAATAAATGACAACAATAAAAAACAAGTAAAACAAATAATAATAACAAATAATTAAAATAAAATATCTAACATAAAAAATATTTAAAATATAAATAAAACTATAATAGTATTTCAGTGATACTAAAAAACACAGATTTTGACACCACAGGATACATTACAAGTACAGTATTCAATTAAATCTTAACATTGTTTTGACACTGATATACATATACCCACAGACATTTTTAAACTATTAATCTAAATATTAAAATATCAACACTTTAATATTTACTGTATAGTAACTGTATAGTAGAGAACAGAAAAAAACTCTCTGTTACCTCAATTAAAGATCCAGGAGCAAGATGCATCTTAATAGCAAACATGATGGGAATCCATATAACAGAACAGATGACCATAAGCCAGCCGAGTACCATAGACCAGTTCGGATAAGTGTAATCCTCATACGTCATCACCTTCCACTGGTACAGACTAAGTGCCAAAATGAACTAAAGAGACACACAGAGAGAGAAATACTGATTAATATGCAATTTAAATGACAAAATAAATGTCCTTCATAATTCATATTTCTCTATAATTACAATATTGTGCTTTTGTTTGTTTTTAAAAAATAGGTTTAAATAATGTAAATCAAGCCAAAGTATCATTTTCTCAAATATCAGCACCTGATCATAGTGGCAAATTTGATATTGAATTAATACAACCGCTCAACAAACGAGATGTTAATGCTAAGTGAATGTATTTATCCATGAAAGGTCACAGTACCAACAGAAAAATACAATCACACAAATGTAGTTTTTATTCATTAATTTTCTTTCGGCTTATTCTCTAAGTCCTGCCAACTATTCCGGCATATGTTTTACAGAGCAGCACAACCCAGTACCGGGAAACACCCATACACTCTCATTCACACACACTCATACACTATGACCAATTTAGTTTACCTAATTGACCTATAGCGCATGTTTTTGGAGTGTTGGGGAAACCGGAGCACCCAGAGGAAACCCACAAGAACATGGGGAGAACATGCAAACTCCACACAGAAATGCCAACTGGTCTAGCCAGAACTCGAACCAGCGACCTTCTTGCTGTGAGGCGAAAATGCTAACCACTGAGCCACCGTGCTGCACAAATGTAGTTTTATATGTGGTAATTGTTCTGATCCCCCCCAAAAAATCTACAAATTATATCATCATCAAAATATACCCTAAAATATATAATTTTGATCAATTGTGTATCACTAGATGTATCTACAGGAATGGTCGTATATAAAAGCCTGTGCAAATTTAGACATACTGTGAGAATGGTTGGAGTGACAAAGGCCCAGCACACTCTCCAAAACTTGTTTGGCTGGAAGCCGATCATCATCTCAATGTCCTCACAAAACCGCTGTAGACCTGAAATGCGAAGAAAGAAAGAAATAACATAAATGAGCAAACATGTTGGCTATATACGGTTGAAGACAAAATTACTAGCCCTCCTCTGACATTTTAATTATTTTTCCTATATTTCCCAAGCAATCTTCAACAGAGCAAGGAATTTTTTCACAGCATTTCCTCTTATATTTATTTCTTCCGCAGAAAGTCTTATTTGTTTTAGTTTGGCTGGATAAAAAAAGCAATACTTAAAAAATTAAAAATTAAAAACTTGCCTAGTTTAACAAGTGAATCTAGTTAAAGTCTGTGGGAACTGGATGTTGTTTTTCAATATGGTGATGTTTACAACTGAATCGGAATGTTTATTAGGGGGCGGGGTTTTATTTTTAGCTCCTTCTATTATTTTTCACTCACAGCACACTAATGATTGGAGGGCTGTGGCTAAGCATATTTTGCACAATCTGTCAAACCGACATCAATCTTGCACAGAACAATTGTTCACTTTAAGACTAACAATGTGCGCTAGCAAAATAAACTGTAAATTTTGATTTTATGCATTTTAAGCCTTTAAATTGCAGCTGAATACTAGCATCTTGCAAAATAACTAGTAAAATGTGTAAAATATCTAGTATAACTAGTAATTAGTTGTAGTTATCGCCATTAAACAGCCAAATTTTAGAAGAGGGTTAATAATTTTGGTCTCAATATTGGTCTGGATCCGCTTGTTAAGTGTGACGTTGCGCAAAGTGGCTTCCGGGTCCAAGCTTTTTATCAAACTGTATGGGTAAACTCAACATATACTAATAATAAATGTTTACAAAGATCTGTAATACTTACGAAAATCACGATTGCAATATATATATATATATATATATACATACATACATACATACATACACATACATATGTATGTATGTATATAAATGAGTATATGTACAGTTTGCACACTTCTGATTATTAATAGCAACCTGTACATATACTCATTTACTGTAAATCTGTTCATAGCTAATACAACCTGTATATAATGTTCATAGTAAATCCATCTGTAAATATCACCTTTTTTTTTTATCTATAGCTGCACTTTATACCTGTATCCTGCACTTGCTGCTATTGCACTGCTGGTTAGACCTAAACTGCATTTCGTTGCATTGTACTTGAACATGTGTAATGACAATAAAGTTAAATCTAATCTAATCTAATCTTTTATATATATATATATATATATATATATATATATATATATATATATATATATATATATATATATATATATATATATATATATATATAGTTAAAGTCAGAATTATTCGCCCCCCTGTTTATTTTTTTCCCCAATTTCTGTTTAACGGAGAGAAGATTTTGCATTTCTAAACATAATAGTTTTAATAACTCATTTCTAATAACTGATTTATTTTATCTTTGCCATGATGACAGTGAATAATATTTGACTAGATATTTTCCAAGACACTTCTATACAGCTTAAAGTAACATTTAAAGGCTTAACTAGGTTGATTAGGTTAACTAGGCAGGTTAGGGTAATTAGGCAAGTTATTGTATAATGATGGTTTGTTCTGTAGACTACCGAAAAAAATATAGCTTAAAGGGGCTAAAGATTTTGCCCTTAAAAGGTTTTTTAAAAAATTAAACTGCTTTCATTCTAGCTAAAACAAAACAAATAAGACTTTCTCCAGTAGAAAAAATATTATCAGACATACTGTAAAAAAATTTCCTTGCTCTGTTAAGCATCATTTGGTAAATATTTGAAAATGAAAAAGAAATTCAAAAGGGGGCTAATAATTCAGACTTTAACTGTATATCCATGCCTAATATCCGATAGCGAGAAAGTGATACATTTTTATAAATTAAAATATTGATGTCTGTGATGCAGCAAGTCAAGAGACTGTACAGTAGTATAAATGATGTTATATAAAACTCACTTTAAAGTGTGATCAAAAGGACATAAACGAATATTTTCTCAATTCAAATGAGTAGTGGGTTGGACCCAGAAACAGTATTTCATACGTCATGACTTAACAAGCGGATATTCTTTTGACATTTACTGTAATTTATTTAAATTCTAACTAACAAAATAACTAAACGCACTATACAGTATATAAAAAAAACTGGCTTAACAAATTTAGAATGTTTTTATATTGAGACTATTGCAGTCTCATCTGCTTGCTAAACTATTTTCTTTTTTCTTATTATCTTTTCATTTCCCACCAAACATTAGATGTGCACTAAAATAAATAAAAGAAACACTAAGATCTAAAGAAAAAAATATTACTAATGTTTTGCTTCTTACACTCTTTGCACACCTAAAACTTGCCTACAGCATTTATTCATTGATGCTCTTATAGTTGTGTAAATTGCTTCCTTGTCCTCATGTGTAAGTCGCTTTGGATAAAAGCATCTGCTAAATGACTAAATGTAAATGTAAAGATAAATGAGTGTAATCTAGACTCACCATAAATGTAAGAGATTCCGACCAGTTCAAATATGGCGATGATGACGAGAGAGTAAGAGGCTGCGAATGTGTCCACCAGCTGAAGCATGTACATCCCACTCTATAGGCAAAAACACACACAGATAGACACACTTTAACATAATAATACAAAAAAAAAAAAATACATCATGAATCCTAATCTAGAAAACAGCCAATAAATGACTTTAATTAAAAGCAGTAAACTACAATTAAATCTTGGGCATTCCAATTTTCTGCTTTAGGAGTTTCACTCTAGTCTGTTTACTTTCCTATTTACTTTGGGGTTTTTATTGTTTACTAGAGAGCCGCTTTAATTAAAGTAAGTGTTGGTAGTTGAGAATAATAGTAAATGTCATACCTCAGTGATCATGGGGAAACCCAGCACGAAAAAGGACAAACAGCATACTAATGTGAATTGAGGTTTGTGTTTGCGCAGGTATTTGGGAAACTCATCAGAAACAGATGTCACTATGGTCTCTATGGTGGCAAACTAAGAGAAAAAACAAACAAACATAGTTATTTATTTGATACAGCTGGGCAAATCGTTTAAGGGTTAGTTCACCCAAAAATGTTCTGGTATTAATTACTCGCCCTCATGTTATTCCAATCCCCTGACCTTTTGTTAATCCTCAGAGCATGAAATAAAATGACTTTGGGTGTAATTCAAGAGCTCTCTCATCCTCCATAAACAGCAACTGTACAGAAATGTTCAATGTCCAGAAAGGGAATCAAAAATATTGTCAAAACATTCCACGTGACTTCAGTGGTTCAACTGTAAATATATTCAAAGCTCCAAGAAGCACCAAAAACTGTACAAACTGTACTAAAACATTTTATTCAACCAACGTTTTTTCTTCACTCCAAGTAAGGTTGTGCATTACTATGAGTAGTATTACATAATTAGAGTAAGCAGCGCAACATGCATGCATTGCATGACCTGTAGAAGACGCAAGTAAAGTAAGTACTAGTTAAATGATGTTTTTTGGCACACAAAAGTGTTCTTGGAACTTGGTAGGATTACAGTTGAACCACTGAAGTCACATTAAACCACTTAACAATGTCTTTTTCTGGAATCTAAATGAAACCCTGGACCATTGCTGTCTGTGAAGGTTGAGAAAGAACTTGAATTTTATTTGAAAATGTCTTAATTAATCCATAAATGAACAAAGGTCTCAGAGGTTTGGAATGACATGAGGATGAGTAATTAATAACAGAATTTGACTTTTTTTCTGGTGAAATAACTCTTTAACATCAAATTATGGAAATCTTAACATTTATGATTGATATTACCATAGTGTCCAGGCCAAGTGTAAGTAACATAAGGAAGAAGATGATGGCCCAGAAAGGTGACAAAGGAAGCCTGGTCAGAGCCTCTGGATACACAACAAATGCAATTCCTGGACCTATAGAGAATATTTACAGAGCAGGTTGGAGTTCTCATACTTGGAAGACAATGAAAACAAAAGCCATTTTTGAACACACTGGTAAATTAACAGTTTATTTTCATTTTCAGATCATTTGTGAACAGGACTTTTTAAAAAATTGTAGTAAATTAGAAGTTTTTGTTACATAGGGCACTCCTAAAACCTTGCCAGGGGTGTATTACTTTCACAAAAGAATGTTTTGCGTCTAATCTTTGTTTTGTGGAAAGTTGTCATGTAATAATAAGGATAAAGTAAATCCAGGCGGTTGTTTTCACAGAATAAACATACCATGAAAGTTACCTCAGTTTTTGGAACAGAAAGCTGAGGTTATCAGTTTACATATTCTTAAACTTAAGCAGGTATGTCACATAAACTGCTTTCTGGAAAACCCCCTAAGTATAAACACATGATCAGATATTTGAATAAACCCAAGTTTAGCGATTCTGAAAACTCCACAAACTTTTCTATCGGTGACTGATCTGAATGCCTCTGACTGACTTTGTGGCAAACTGACATTATTTATTTTCGCATTTCACTTGAATTGCAACAGCTGTTCATGGGAATTTTTGCCCCGTTATCTAGAGTTTTTGTGGGCTATTTCTGTTGTGTCAACCATTAGAGATCCACAGTTTTTTTTGCCTATTTGCTTTTAAAACATGTTCGATGGGATTAACAAAAATACAAAACACATGCCATTACACAACATACTGTACCTTCATCTGCCACACTCTCAATGGGGACTTTGAGCTCATGAGCCATGAATCCTATGACTGAAAAAATGACAAAACCGGCAAATATACTGGTGGCGCTGTTCGTACACGTCACAATGAGTGTATCCCTGTAAAACAAAACAGACAAAGCACAGGATACATTACAACTGAACATCAAAAATAATAACATTATTATTAACAGAACATGTCATATTTTGAGCATGTGCAATCTTGCTGTCATTATTAAATATTTAGTCCGTATGAAATCAAAATTTACAATGTTTATTTTGCTAGCGCACATAGTTATTCTTTAGGTGAACAAATAGTCTATATTTGAAAATGATTGTTTTGGTAATCTTCTAAATCTAACCATTGTTCTTCTCTGTTGACCGCTTCAGCCACAATATTCTTAACCTTACAGTTAGTTTGAGGTAATGATATGCAAAAAGAAAGCCCCACCCTTTACTTAATATTCCATTTCAGTTGGAAGTACATCAACATACTGAAATAAAAGTCTCAGCATCTTCTGGTGGCATCTTTGGACTTTAAAGTGTTTGAGTGTTAGTGTTTATTTTGCTAGCTCACATTGTTATTCTTGTGGTGAATATTTAATCCGTGCAAGTTAATGGGGTACAGTATATGCACACAGACTTTTAATTTCAGCCAGCCAGCCTTAGAGCTTCTGGTGAACTGTCTTTCTGTTTAAACTTAAATTTTTTCTTTAAAAATCAGTGATCTTCACTGTCTAAAAGATATACGATATGGGTCTCAGACCGAACAAGAAGCACTGCATTAAATTCCATTTCCCCCTGCCATGTCTTTAAAATATGACAGTTTATTTTACCCTAGTGTTTTCAATGGAGTTTCTGCACTCGCCTGCTAATCTTGACCTTAAAAAGATCTTGCTGATCTTAAAAGAAACCTTATGAAATTAAAAATAGTCACATTAAGCTTTCACTGGAAGTTATCATTGTCTGAAAAACACTGGCTGTGCATATAGTGCCTATGTAATGCATATACTGTGCATATATATTTGTTTGTTGTGGTATTCTTCAATCATAATCTTGACCATTCGCTTCTGCTTTTGCAGTGGCGGTCCATCAGTTGACATCAACTTAAAGGCTTCCATAGCAACTGCATATTAACACTCTTATCAATAAGTTTGCTATGAGTTTTCTATGTGCAAAAAGAAGCCCCGCCCCCTACTTAATATTCCATTTCAGTTGGAAGTGCATCAACGAACTGAAATACAAGTCTCAGCAACTTCTGGTTTACACAGTAGCTGCATCCCTAAATGGCACACTAAGCACTTATGCACTATGTACTTACACACTTAACAGCAAAGTATATGAATTTAGTGTCATCCCAAATGGACACTAACGTTTCGTTTTACTTAGTGGAAATTCAAACCGTTTCCCAGATGACGTTTGACGATTGCCAAATTAGCCAAATAAATGACCTGCCCTGCCATGAGTATAACTGCATTCACCATCGGGAGGCGCTATAATCACTCTTGTAGAACAATTTTGCTTACACAATCCAAAATAAATAAAGTAATACAACAACAGTGACCGAAAGCTCCGCCCCTTCCGCTATGTGAGCAAAACTGCAGCCGCAGAGTACGTAAAGTGTCCAACATTCCACACTTCTTTTTAACCGTTAAATAAGTGCATCAATTGGATTTTTAAAGTGCACTACTCTTTTTAGAGTTAAAGAAATACTGTATTTCAGTGTGAAAGCATTACTTACACTATTTATACTACAAAATGGCATAGAATAGTGCATAATTATGTGATTTGAGGCGCACCTACAGACTTTAAAAAACTGTATTTTAAACAACGATTTTATTTGTCATTTGTTTACATTTAATAGTATATATTTCAAAATAGTATATTTAAATATAAGCTTGATTTCTTTCAGGGTCACAAGATTTTTTAGAAATCGTGCTAAAAACAGTTCATATTTGTCAGGAATTCTCTATTTTAGTATTTCTTTTATGGATTGAAGGCTAAAAAGAACAGCTTTTATTGAAATACAAATTGTCTAAGAAAAAAGGCATTGCTGGTTACCTGTAACAGTTGTTGTGAAACTTATTGTAGGATGACAAGGTTATCAGTCCACCCCATGCTGCAGACAGAGAGAAGAAAATCTGCGTGGCTGCGTCTTTCCAAACCTACAGTTAAAGCAGAGAAAGAGAGAAAGAAATACAGATAGAGAGACTAAGAGGGAAAATAGGATTGAATCTGGAGGAGAATACATCAAACAGAAAGCATTATACCATCAAACATAGGGAAAATTAATAATTAGATATGCACCATGCCTTCTATTACCTTAGCATCGTTGAGTTTTTCCCATTTGGGTGTTATGAAGTAAAGGATTCCAGAACCGGCTCCAGGCAGAGTGACTCCTCGGATAAGCAGAATGACCAACACCACATAAGGGAACGTGGCAGTGAAGTACACCACCTGGACACAAGGTGGACATCACAATAAACCAAACTTATTAAGGACAACAGCTCCAAAAACATGATTATAAATTAGTCCTAGTGCTTGATTCTGATTGGCTAACCTATTTTTGCAATATAACGGTTTATTTATTTACTGAAGTGTTAGTGACTTCTGGCATTATAGTTAAAATTCTTGAGACTACACCCCTTTTTTAGGCGGCTGCGCATGTGTGAAAGTCCTCAGTTCATTGATATGGCATTGTGCACTACCTGACAAAAGTCTTGTCGCAAGTTTTAGGAACAACAAATAATAACTTGACTAGTTGATCATTTGGTATTAGAGGTGGCTTATATGAAAGACGAAGGCCTCTAGATTACACTTATTCTACCTAACTAAAATATGATCATGCCTTGATTTTTATTATTTCATTAGGACATTAAGGTCTGACTTTGATTAGACAAAAGTCTTGTCACTTAACATAAATAATGTACAATGTAGAATATAAAGTCATGGTGCAGTGGAAAAAGCATGAATATTGTGCATGACTCCCATGAGCTTGGACGACTGCATCCATGCTTCTCTGCAATGACTCAAATAACTTATTAATAAAGTCATCTAGAATGGCAAAGAAAGCGTTCTTGCTGGACTCCCAGAGTTCATTAAGAATCTTTGGATTCATCTCCAATGCCCTTTCCTTCATCTTACCCCAGACATGCTCAATAATGTTCATGTCTGGTGACTGGGCGGGCCAATCCTGGAGCACCTTGACCTTTCAGGAACTTTGATGTGGAGGCTGAAGTATGAGAAGGAGTGCTGTCCTTCTGAAGAATTTGCCCTCTCCTGTGGTTTGTAATGTAATGGGCAGCACAAACGTCTTGATACCTCAGGCTGTTGATGTTGCCATCCACTCTGCAGATCTCTCGCATGCCTCCATACTGAATGTAACCCCAAACCATGATTTTTTTCTTCACCAAACTTGACAGATGTTTATGAGAATCTTGGGTCCATGAGGGTTCCAATAGGTCTTCTGCAGTATTTTTGATGATTAGGACGCAGTTCAACAGATAATTAAATGGCAAAATCTACCTTCTGCCGTTTTCCAAATGACCAACTAGAAAACAAGTTATTATTTGTTGCTTATACAATTGGGATCGAAGACAAGACTTTTGTCAGGTAGTGTATATTCCATGAGTTATGAAAAGGCAAACTAAGGTAATGGCAAAACAGTCTGGTTTAAACTATTAGACTATTCTGCTGAGAGATAAAAAAAAGATGTGTGTTAAAATATCATACACTGTGTTTAAGATATACTTATACTTATACTTATATATTTATATATATATATATATATATATATATATATATATATATATATATATATATATATATATATATATATATATAAGGTAGATTTTATCAATTCAATAAAAACATTGATACAAAACAAAATACAGTAAATATACTGTATTTGTACTTGTATGTCTGTATGTATATATATATATATATATATATATATATATATATATATATATATATATATATATATATATATATATATATATAAAACACACATGTTGTTCTTTTAAACGGTAATTTGTATGGTATGATAACCTTGGATAAAAATATCACAGTTTCACAGTATTGTAATTAAACTAAAATAAAATACATTTATAAAACAAAACAAAAAACACACATATACCCTAGGAATGGAATAGCAGAATATTTTGGCGGTTTTAAGACCTTGACTTTTCCAAACGGCAATATACCTTGAAAATGGTTATCGGCCCATGCCTAGTAATATATAGATTTTTTTTTTCTTCCAAAAGATCATATGACACTGAAGACTGGAATAACAGCTTCTGAAAATTCAGTTTTGCCATCACACGAATAACTTACATGTTTAAATATATTAAGATGTAGAGTCATTTTAAATAGTAAAAATATATTATATACCCCAATTTTGCTCAAATAAATAGCCTTGATATCCATATGACTCTTTTTCAAGAAAATAAAATGTGCATAAAAATAGTATAATGTACACTGTAAATAAAAAAAAAACAATTTTGGTTGCCTTTAAGACTTTAAATTTACAAGCAATTGTATACAGTTGTGCTTTATTTTTACAGGAATTATTAATTGACAGTTTGCATGTGTATTTACTGTCTTATTGGAAACCAAAAATGCCAATAAGCTATTGTACATTTTACAGTAAATTGTAATTATTAATTTACAGTGTGCTTTATAAATTTACAGTCTTCCAAGCAACCAAAATTGCCAGTAAGTTACTGTAAATTTTTACCTTTTTTTACAGTTTATATTGTATTTATTTCAGAAATAACAATAATAATAATTCTGCACATCATTCACTCATAGCAAACTTAATGGTAATGGCTGTTAGAATGCAGTAATTCACAGTATTGACCAATGGTTTTGTTCATCTGACTGACCAGATTTGACTTTTCAAAAAGAAAGTCAGCTAGACTAGAATGAGTGCTGTAGGCTTTTCTATTAATAGTTCCTTTAGAAACAGCTGACATCAGGAGAGAAAATAGTCAACCTGTTTTCTTACCTTCCCTGAGGACTTGATCCCTTTAGCCAAAGAGGCATAAACAATAAGCCAAGCCAGAAACAGACAAGCAGCCAGTGGCCAGCGGATATCGCCTGGATATTCAATACCCTTCGAAATATGCAACACATTATACCTGTCAAGAAAGCAGAGTGATTAACATCCAAATATCCTGCAGATAAAGCACACAGATAGAGAAAAGGAAAAGCACACTTACTTGAAGTACTCCTCGCTAGGGCTGACATAGGTTTTATTGTCCACTGTGACATTCAACAGTTTACTTAAATTCCCAACCACATTTGCAGATAAACAGAATGTAGTGTTCTTGATGGACGTGATGTTTCGGTCTCTTAGAATACACGTGTCTGGCCAGAAGAAACAATGACAGAACTTGGAATCAACTTGAAAACCAGTTTCCTGTTTATCATCGTCATTCACTGCCTAGCTGAAAAATAAAAACACTCTACAACATATTAAGTCAAACATATCAAACAAACCTTGTAATTTCACACACACTGTAATAGTATATCTGTGACTTAAAATACTTTATAGAATCTAAAAATGGCTAATAATTCTAGACGTATATAAATGTAAATAACTTAATATTACAAATCAATTTTACAGAACATTTCTGGTCACTTTTTTTCCACACATTGTAAAAATGGGTACCTTCAATTATTTAAGTTAAATCAAATTAACTTTGAGACATTTTAACTTTTTTTTGCCCTTCAAAAACAATTTAGGCCAAGCTCAATTCCAACGTAATCTTTCACAAACTGACTGAGAATGTCACCTATACAATCAATCAAATATAAAGCGATAAAATTTAAAAGATAAATAAATAAATATTTAAAAGAATAATAATAACTTAACAAAAATAAACAACATACTGTGCAGGCATCAAACAGAAACTTTGTAAGAGGTAAAAAAAAACATATTCTTGAAACAAATCGTAGTTTTTTTGCCTTCTCATCCTTGAATATTTTTAAAGTCTCTGCATAGGTGGGAAACTCCTTTTTAAAGACAATCAAATTAGGAGCTGTTTTCAAAAGTTTGCATTTATAAATGAAGAATTTAAGTAAAAAAAAGTAAATTTGCAGTTAAGTCATCATCTTTGTTCCAATGTACTGTAAATTTCACAATGTCCCAGCAAATAGGAGAAAACATTGAGTTTTATTGTTTTATCTAGTTGCCCACATCAGACCAGAAAGGATTAACCAAATTACAATGTAGAAATTGATGTTCAACAGTTTCAACATTACTATTGCAGAATTGGCATAAACAGCTTATATAACTTAAACAAGACTCAGTTTAATAAGTTAAATAAAATAATAACATATGTTGTCATGGCTTAATGATCATATTTTTAAAGGGAATTATTTTACTCTCAAATACAATTTATATGCAATAAAAAATATTTTAGAGCTTGAAATTGTTGTCGGACTAAAATTGTATTAATTCCCATAACTTTTCAGATTCAGAAATCACATTTTTCAGCGTTTCTCATAAGCCTGATCCCCATAAAACATATAAATATAACATAACAATTTAAAGATTTGTGTATATATTTTTGCATTTATTTTATTAGCTCAATTTAAACCTCGTTTTGTCTTGTGTCAAATGATGTTAAGCCATCTAGCGGCCCTCTTGGAGTTTGCTGAGTCTCTGGTTGAGAAAAGCTGCTGTACAGTCTTTGATTCATGCGCAGATTTCAAACAGGCCACGAGGTGGCAGTGCATCTCACTGCGGCACTGCACCAACTCTTACAGTAAATTTGTCAAGCAAGCAGATTTTCTGCTGAATTCACCAAAAGCACGACATTGAGAAGAGCGTTTTGCAACGAATTAAAACGCAAAAATGTTAGCAAGTTTTTTTTTCCCGATGGGTAGCAAAAAATATGATGCATTGTTGAAATTACATTATAAGCAAAAATAATTCTGAAGACCACACTGCTTTTTTTTACTGAACGAACATCCATATAAAAATAAAAAGGCACAATTAACTTGCATTGCTTGGCAGTATTAAAATAGAACAACTCATATTAATTCAAACTAAAATCTTTCATTTATTGTAACTCAGAAAAAAACTGTCAAGTCATCAAATAAGAACTTTTGGTGCAATGAACAGAAACAGTTGCGTCTGGGGTGCACAGACAAAAGTGCATAACCTAAATGGAGTGGTAGGTTACTTAATTCTTGAAATACAGGTTGCGCATTGCGCATTTTAGTTAGAAAAAAGAAGGGGGTTAAGGGGTGGACAGAGAGTGTGTGTGTATGTGTGTGTATGAGAGAGAGAGAGGGAGAGAGAGAGAGAGACTCATCCTTACCCAAAAGCAGCATGTCTTTGTCTTTGCACTCGACGGTGTTCCATTCATTTTTACAGGTGGCCCATGGCAGTGTCTCCTTCAACGAAGCGAACAGGTAGTACAATGTCCAGCACATAATAATATTATAGTATATGGCTATCAAGACAGATATTATCAACATGGCAATCCCGCAACCTATAATAACAAAATGAAACCAGACAATAGAAATTACACTTAAAGCAGACTTACAGCCGATTACCATTTCACTGAAAACACTCATTAGGCACATTAGCACAAGCTTAACGCAGTTTAGCCATCGATTATTAAAGTAACGCCAGTTTACCTTGTAGAGCTGGAATCGCTTTCCACACCGACACCGGGCCTTGGCTGGCGAACTGACCCAACGACACCTCCAACAAAAATATAGGTATACCGGCGAGGCCTAACATGATTAGGTAAGGTATCAAAAACGCACCTAAAAAAAGAGGAAAAAAAGTGCCGATGAAGGAAATAAAAATCCTGACTCATCAATTGTGCATCTGTAAAGAACTTCAATTAATAAAATAAATTAAATTATAAAACTCATTTTTCGTTTAACTGTTACTTTTTTAATAATACTACATTAATATATATATATATATATATATATATATATATATATATATATATATATATATATATATATATATATATATATATATATATATATATATATATATATATATATATATACACCGAAAAAAAATAAGGAAAATAAAACAATGATTATACACTGTTCAATGCCTATTAATAATATTTAATTTTTTTATGATCCGTACATTATAATACAGTTCTTGCATAAAACGAATTTTAATTCCATTGACAAAACAAATGCTAGGCTATATATTTTAATTTAGTTTCAATGAAAAATATACGGATAAATTCCCACGCATGGACAGTCCAAACTTTCAAACGATTCATTTTGTATATATAAAAAAAATCTATCTCAAAAATCGTACTGATCATTTCTTGTGTACTGCCTCTTGAATATTCCTCACCTCCCCCGTTCTGGAAAGCAAGATATGGGAATCTCCACACATTTCCCAAGCCCACGGCATATCCCACCATGGACAGAATAAAGTCCAGTTTGTTGGACCAGTTTCCCCGAGCCTTATTCTCATCTCCTCCATCATCATCATCATCGTCCTGGAACAACCGCCCAGTATCATCTGTGGGGGGCTATTATACACAATTTAATAGAAATTCGTTTATTACAGACTATTACAACTCATTAAAATATAAACACAGCGCTTTAAAAAAGCATCAAATACAATAATGCTCCCCCAACTAATTTAGCTTCATTTTTGTGACAAGGGTATAAAGGGGTCGCCCTGGGCTCTGATGAATGCCCCAATGGGAATTGTACCATAAGCAGATTCTTATGTAACACATTATCCTGCTGCAACACCACACAACAGAAACAATCTCTGGGGACAATGGCCCTCACAATTCAGAGTACGCATAGATAAACTTGTAAATTCATATCAGATTTTAAATTGTAACTCTTGAACTAAGCGGTTTGTTTCAGTAGCGATGCAGTATCCTAATACATGACAGCATTTGATGTATTCAGGTTCCCTGACACATCCTCTTACCCCACTGTTGTAATTATTGTGCTGTCAGAAATAATCACTATCAGTGTTCAAATCTTTCCAGATTGGAAGCAGATTTCGTTTCGCTGTCCAATTTTTAGAGTTTAAATAGCAATGTTCTTAAGTCCATAACACTTCATGATTTACTACAATATGCAAACATTATATTTAAACAGACAGAAGCCTTTTTTCTTTTTAAATTGACTTTTACCATAGTAAACTCTTACAAAACCAAACGGATTTGTAGTCTAAACAAAAGGTTTAGCCTTTAGGTTTTTAATTATTTGTGTGTTTTTTTAAACTTAATGTAAATACTGTAATATTTTACCTGTCTCCAACTAGTTTGAGTGCATCGAATGGATATAGGATTGGAGTTTAGCCCACATTTAAACGCCCCACTTCTAATTTATTACATATAAAATGTTAAACCAAATTTACAACCTTTAACTTATTATTATTTAACCATTGTTCGGTGATTCTACAAATTTCCCAAGCGTTAAATCAAAATTACAGTTCTATCGGTCGTAAAAGACAGTTGCAACTAGCTGCAGTTCCACAGTGCAATATACATATGAAAAAACAACAACACATCATAGCGTTTGCTTTAGCTCAAGACTCTCCCCGTTACGCTCACGGGTGATTGGCTGATTCTGCCGGATTGAAACGTTCATTTGTAACCACTTACCCCGGTCACCGTGCCAGGCAGAACAGATGTATTGCCATCTGTACCCAGTATGATGGTGGTCTGGCTCATGGAGGTCCAGTCGCCGGTGCTGTTGTTATGCTCCGCCGCGATCCTTACAGCACTTTGATTGTTAGACATGAAGTCCGACGTTGCTTTACCGGTCGATGCATCCATTTTACCGACGGAATCCTTGCGCACGGCAGAATTAACGCCAGCAAACGTGGGTCCAGGTGCAGTGTTTTTAAACGTCCCGTATGCTTTATTGGCTTCCATATCGCACGGTTTATTTTCCGAGGGACAAAAAGTTTTCCGTTCATTTACTGGCGGCGGCGGGGGCGCCGGTTTGCTGTTCTCCGGTTTGGTGTTAGTTGTAGCTCCAACCGGTCCCCCTGAGGGCTGAGGCGGAACGCTGTTTGACGGCTGTCTCAACATTTCCCCGTGCTCAGAAAAATCCTGCAACGTTAAATACACATTAGATGTAGGCAGTAGCTGTAATTAGCGTAATAATTAAATGCTATTGCATGCCTCTAGCTACAAAACGTTCAGACATATACCAACCCGTATAGTCAGCACAACAAAATAGGATATTCACGCTTCCATATTCTAACTTCTGCTACTGGACATGTCTGCTGCTCCACTTCTTTGATTTTCAGCTCACGGACGGTCGCTGTTTGCTTCTTGCTTTTACCATTAGAGAAAGATTCTTTAATTTTACGCCTCATTTACCTCCTGTCATTCAACCCCGGCACATCCCCTGGTTTTATGGGCAATAGACAAGCTGCCGGGCTCGGCCAAAGCTTTTCCCCCCTGCGGCAGGCACCGGTCCCGGTGCAAGTGTGCAGTGCAATCCGGGGGTGCAAACATGGAACATTACACCAACAATTACATTGCACCACAGGAGAACACTGTTCTAAGATCAATTTAAAATTGTTCAAATATCCTAGTTAGCCTATGTTCAGACCAAAAGAAAATAAAAATAAAAACATTAATACACGGTTAAAATCTGGCTGTATTTCTGTTAATAATTGTTAAAATAAAACTAACGGTATTTAATGCTGTATTATTTTCTTATACCACAACTAATTATTCCGTTGTAATACTGTAAAAATGGAGTGCTGAAAAGTTTCAGCACTGTGGACAGCGACTAATTAATGAACGCATTTAAAACGATACTTTTCGTTTCCAAAACTGTTGTAAAAAATCTGCAAAGCGTTCACAGCAAAACACACAAAGCGTAAAGTAATGAATGTGCTGTACTCACCATTTGTGCAGAGTCAACAAATGTGGGTTAATAGCAGAAAACAGCTGGAAGGACGGCAGGCAGACTGAGTTTGGCTGTGCAAAGTGCAAAGCTTTCTATATCTCCGTGGGAAAGACCGGGTTTGCGTCAGTGCATGGCAAGGTACCCTTCGCATGACATTTTCTTGATAATAGGGCTTTGATAAATCATTGGCCTTCAATTCTGATTTTTAAAGGGGCAACAAGCGCAGACGTGAGCTCGTGACACACACCAGGCAGCGCGAGACTACGTTTGGGGACGGACTGGCTCGTGACTGATTAATAAACTTGTCCCTCAGGACTATGTAAAGATGTTCATCTGACGCACAGAGAAGATTCTGCAGACGCAGGCATCATGGTGCCTGCATATTTGACCGAGTCCTATATGCATATAGATAAATTGAATGACTTTTCATCATGCAAGATTATTAAAAATAGATAACAGGTCCATTTTGTATTTTCTAATTATATTAAATAACCGCTTGGTTATTTATGTTCAGTGCACAGGAATTATTATTTTTTTATTTCAATAAGTCCACGAAAACAAGTTTTGAAATAACTGGTGTATATTTTACATCATTTACTAAGTTAAAAATCAAATAATGAACTTTGCAAAATTCTGAAAGAGCATTATGAAACTTTTTTAGCCCATTTCCCTAAGTGTTTGCGTAATTCACGGTTCTATACGTCAAACTGACGCCCACGTTCCTGCGTCACTGGCACATATATTGCTCAAGTGTAAAAGTGGGCGAGGTTTTCGGAGGAGTGGAGGCACTCATTTGTTAAAGTTTTACGCAAGACAAAAGAGGAGTATTCTTCTATTTTTAGCTTTAGTGCAACCACACTGCATGCATCACCCCTGGAAGTACAGTAAATCACGGAAATTATTTATTTTAAGGATTAATAGTTGTTTTTGTGAAGAACACATGTGTTACAGTAGGCTATAACAGATTTTGGGCTTGAATGTTTTTTTAATATCAAGGTGCCGAATTGCTTATTATATAGATAGTGTTGCCATTTGATTAAATATATTATAAAGCGAGTTAATCAAGAGATACATATAATACTCTCGGTAAGGTGTTATTCAATCTGCGTCCAGCTCAGTTCCTCAGTCTTGATATCACTCTCTACGCGCGCGCTGCTGCAGTGACCATCATAAATCTGCGCCCGCGCGCCTGTGATAAGCCTCTGTGCGGCTGGATTAGCTCTTCGCTCAGGGTTTAATTGCTTTGTCAACAGAGAATAATTGTAATTGATTTCTGCCTCTCTTTTCGAGTCACCTTTATACGTTCTCTTTAAAGCACGGTAAAGAGAAACAAGGTGCGCCTTAAGTAAAAAGAGTCAACAGAAATGCGCTTTTGCGTGGCCTGCTTAACATTTCCCTCATGAACAATTCGGTTTCTCATGCTGTTTTAAATTAAAAGAATTATTATTATTTTGGTGGATTAATTTTTTAAAATTGTTTTGCTTTTTGATAATTGACAGCACACATTTTGTATCTGATAAGGAATAAATTGTTCAAATAAAGAAGTTCTTTTCGCTTCACTTTATGTTATCCCATAATTAATCGCACAAGATAAGATTATGCATCAGCCGATAGTCGTTTGTCTTTAATGGGATGTTGATAAAACACAAAAACGTCCCCGTAAGGTATGGAATATTAATGGAGTGTTAAAGGGCCTAGTCTACTACGCTTTCTTCAAGTCCCAAAGTAAACGATTATCAGTTTATCTGTCATTTTTAAGATGCAACGCAAACTGGCTGCGACGTGCACGCGCATAAGGGAGCAAGAGCGCTAGTGTGAGTATTGGAACATACCTAGTAGCCCAAATCATTTGCTACAATATTTAAGTTTCAAAATGGTGCTTTTTTTCCCTAAAATATAATTTAATAAATATGTAATATTAATAAATAAATAAACGTTGCAAACCCAAAATAGCCAAAATAATAAGTAATTTCAGACATGAAGATTAACCTACTATAGACAATAGTTTAGTTATTTTATCAGCTTTCAGCATAGGCTACTGTACTACTGAAATATCTGCTCCACTGACTGCCATTCAAACAGAGTATGGACGTGCGTCCCAATTCGCGTTTATGTTTACTATTTATGCATTTTTAAGTACAGTGCAGATACAGGTGTTCACATTGAAAATGAAAACAAAAATTACCAGATATAAATAACCTAAATTTAATACAAAAAATAAAAACCAAGTATAGAATTTTGGACAATTACGTAGTGGAGGGGGCGGGGCTTTCAGACTTGATTGACAAAATAATCAAGATCATACACTAGACAGTTGAGTACACTGTATATAAAGCGTCATTTGGGTCACAACTCCAATTTTTTACACTCAAAAAAAAAAAACTTAGTTGAGGTTGAGAAACATCACAACTCTTGCCATTTCTTTGCCCAATTTATTTGTTTTGTTCATTCCTCTAAATTTGTAAACCATTAAGTTAACTTATGCTTTGCTTTGCGTGGGATTGAATTAAGAGAGAAATTTTGACAAGAAAAACAAGAATCTATGGTGTTTAAAGCTAATAGTAAGACTTGTTAGAGTTTAATTATTTTATTTAGAAGATTTTCATGGAATATTTTGAGTTTTGAGATTACCACTTTGCAGAAGCACCCATGATTTGTAAAAAAAAAAAAAAAAAAAAAAGGCAGTTTGTTGCTTTGATCAGTGAGCAATAACTGTCCTAAAAGTAGTTGTGAAATCAGTCTTAATCAACTGTATGTAGCTCATGAATGGCTCTTTCAGTTAATTTAGGATAACTTCAAATAAAACTGAGAGACTTTGAAATGTATGACACATAATAGACATCATAATATTATCAGACCTTTAAGTTAAATAAAAATACAAATATATGTTTACTTTTATTTCATAAAATATTGTTGGACACACCTAATTGCATTTAATTGTGTAAATATTTATTTATTTATTATTATTTTTTTTTGGTTAGTGCTAACCCAACTATTGGATGGAAATCCAGCCCTCAATTAAACTGAGTTCATCCAATGTTTATTTTTTGAGTGTACTGGAACCTCAACTAAGTTTTTTTTTTTTTTTTTTTAAGTCAGCCTTAGAAATGACCCAGGACTGCTGGCTGAATATCTGTTGGATATATAGCACACATAACTAGAAAAAATGTGGGAGTTTAGAAGTCATCATCTGATTGGAGGATTGTGTGCATTCTATAATACCTGCCTGGAAACGAATTTGGTTGCTTTACATGTCTTATTTAGCCAATAAAAGCTGAAGACTCCTAAGACTATATAGCATATAGAGCTGATATCAAAATGGCTCTGGCTGTGCTGTAATATAAACAAAACATATTGGCTTCTCAATACGTTTTGCCATGACCTCCTTCACGTCAGAGGGACCTTTAATGACAGTGAATGCTATTATGGAATGTGATCAGAGCTAAACATCTTCATAAGAAACATGAAATCTGTGTTGATTATAGATAGATAGATACTGTAGATAGATAGATAGATAGATAGATAGATAGATAGATAGATAGATAGATAGATAGATAGATAGATAGATAGATAGATAGATAGATAGATAGATAGATAGATTAGATAACAATTTTTGTAAACTAAAGAAAAGTGTTCAAGACTGACTTTTAAATGAAAGCTTGCAATAATGTGTGCTGATACAAATTTCAAGATTCTTTTAAAAGACTTTTGCCCCCAATCTGCGAACATATATTTCAATATACATGTAGATATCTACACAATAGTTTCCATTGTTAAAATGCATACAATGAGTATAAAATAATGTGTGACACATGTACATATTTAGGTGTTTAGAAACTTTTTAGCTCCTATTGTTTGTCAGTAATATTTTTAGGTTTGGTCATGTTCAAAGGTCCTGACATGACCAAACATGATCACACTTTAAAATATTACTGACAGCCAGTAAGAGCTAAACATGTCACACATTATAACTATGATAACAAACCGCAATAATGCATTTAAGTATTCATTAATTGACTTTTGTGGTTTTAATTTGATTATAAATATCTAATCCCCCTTTTGCCTTCAGAACTGCCTTAATCCTTCATGGCATAGATTCAACAAGGTAATGGAAATTTTCTTTAGAGATTTTGTTCCATATTGGCATGATAGCATCACGCAGTAGCTGCAGATTTGTCGGCTGCACAACCTGGAAGCGAATCTCCCTTTCCACCACATCCAAAGGTGCTCTATTGGATTATGAACTGGTGACTGTGGAGGCCATTTGAGTACAGTGAACTCATTGTCATGTTCAAGAAACAAGTCTGAGATGATTCACACTTTATGACATGCCGTGTGATCCTGCTGGAAGTAGCCATCAGAAGATGAGTACCCTGTGGTCATAAAGGGATGGACATGGTCAGCAACAATTATCGGGTAGGCTGTGGCATTGACACGGTGCTCAATTGGTACTAGG